TTTCTGAAGTTTGCGAGTGTCTGGCTCGTGGAGGGAAGGCCTCAGGTCTCTGAGAAAGCTCGGGAGTCGTCTTTCTTAGCCAGTTCATCCGTGTGCCCGCGGCAACGTCACTGCGAACGCTATCTAGATGTCTAACTCCTTAGTTTTACCAAAGGGAGATCGTGGATTACCCCGAAATGAATAGGAACTTGTAGAGGTGTGTGTGCGTGACGCCATACTGAGGACATGGCCGTGCGGCTGCGCTCACCACCTGTCGCGCTTGCTGTTGGCCTGCAGGTGGTCCGGTACCTGGCCGGCTGCGGGCTGCAGAGCTGCCAGCTGCTGGTGTCCAGGGGCTACCCAGATGTTGGCTGGAACCCCGTGGAAGGGGAGCGCTACCTCGACTTCCTCAGATTTGCTGTCTTCTGCAATGGTAGGCCCCCTCGGCTGGCGTCCCCGGCCCTGCCCAGAGCCGCTCAGGAGCAGGGTGGTGTTGTCAGGGCCTTCCCAGCATGCCCAGGATGGAAGGAGCTAGCGAGGTGCGTGGTACTCCAGTAGGTCATTACCCAGCATTGGTTTTGGTAGTGCTTTCATTATTTTAATTTACATGTTTGGACACACACATTCTTAAATATTTTTATACGTGCAGTCTAATACTAGTTAGAATTATATCATTTCGGGTCCAGCAGTTGGCATAATAGCTATGTCGCTGGACTCCCATATAGTCGACCATGGTTTGAGTCCCGGACCCGGTGGCTTAAACTCACACTGGGCGCGTGTGCATGCGTGCCCAAGATCCCGAGAGGAGAATGGAGGAGAAGGGATTGTGGCGAGGCCATCCTCCCTGGGGGGTGATTTCTCACTTTCTGTCTCTATGTCTGTCTGTCTCTCTGTCTTTCTGGTGAGTGCACGTGCCCTATAGCAAAAACCTCTAAAAAAAAAATTGTACCATTTCCCAGGACAAGTTAGCAAGAGTGGGTAGTTTATGCCTTCATGAAGCTTCTGTTTCATATTTTTTAAAAGAATTATTTAATTTTTATTATCATTAAAAAATTTGCTATAGGACATGTACACTTACCAGAGAGAGGGGGAAATTGAGAAAGCAAGCCACCAGCTCCGGGACTTGAACTGCTATTAGCCACATGGGAACCCAGAGCCTTAACCACCATACTGCCTGCCGGCCCCACAAAGCTTTTCCTTGAGAATTAGAGGTGTAAGAAAAGAAATGACCGTGCCTTACACACGTAGCACCAGTAGTCCGGATTGAGTTTGCACTTACTGTATGCTCTTTGGTATTACTGTTTTAAATAAGAAATGGAGGCCTGTCGGGAAGCAGAGCCCTAACCTGCGTCCGCTCCTAACCGTCTCTGACCTGCCCCACCCCAGGGGAGAGCGTGGAGGAGAACGCCAACGTGGTGGTACGGCTGCTCATCCGCAGGCCCGAGTGCTTCGGCCCCGCCCTGAGGGGCGAGGGGGGCCATGGTCTGCTCGCCGCCATGGAAGAGGCCATAAAGATTGCAGAGGACCCCTCCCGAGACGGCCCCTCGCCAGCCAGCGGGTCCAGCAGGACGCTGTAGGTCTCATACCCAGCCCTCACGGGGCCGTGATACTTGGCTTCATGTCGTACAAACTATCCGTGTGTGTGTGTGTGTGTGAGAGAGAGAGAGAGAGAGAGAGAGCGAGTGCGAGTTAGAGTTGGTCCTGGAGGCCCAAGGCCCCTCCGTCTCCCCAGTGGTGGAAACCGCGCCCAGAGGTCTCAGCCCAGAACCACGCTGGTGGGTGTGGGAGGACCTCGTGCACGGGGAGCCTGGTTGCCAGGTGGCATCTGTCACTCTGCAGCCTGCAGGGGAAGCTGGGGCAGCCGGGGCAGCCGAAGGCCAGGTTTCCAACAAGGGAGAGGAGGCGGGACGGGGCCTTTGGTCTCGGCAGCAAGATGATGAGCCCTGTGTCCGTCCCAGAGCTGGGCCGGTGGAGGGCAGAGGTGGAGGTCGCGGAGTGAACGAAAGCGTGTTTGTAAAGCACAGTTGGCCTCCGGTCCATGGCTTCTGTGTCCGTGGATTCAAACAACTGTGGGTCAGAAAACCAAGGAAGTACAGAGATCAGAGACGGCGGTGGGCTAAGAGCAGCAGACGAGGCCGCGGTGGGCGAGCGTGCAGCTGTTGGGTGCTGCCGGTGGCCTGCAGGGACGAGCGTGCGCGGGGCGTGACTTCATCGGGGACTGCGCCTCCATGCATGTCGGTGCCGGAGGGGGTGGTCCTAGAACCAGGCCCAGGATGCCAAGGAGTGGGGGCTTACTGGGGACAAGGTCGTGTCACTGCACAGGTCACCTTTGTCACCCTTTGCCAGTGCGCACAGTTCACGGAGCAGTCGGCCTCTTGTCTGTTATTTCCGGTTAACACAAAATGCACAGCAGGTTCCGTTAGCCGTCCCCTCCCTTCCCCTTCCAGAGGGGCCCTAATACTGCAGTTCCCGCACACGTTCCCAGACAGACCCAGACAGACTGATTCCAGCCGTAACTGAGAACACAGATGCCAAGTGCCGGCGGGCAGCGAGCGTGGGCGGTGTGTGTGAATGTGTGTGGCAGTCACCGTTTGTTCTCTGTTTCCTTTGCAACCTCACGGAAGTGACACGGAAGAGGGGGAGGATGACACCATCCACATGGGGAACGCCATCATGACCTTCTACGCAGCGCTGATCGACCTCCTCGGCCGCTGTGCCCCTGAGATGCACGTGAGTGCCCTAGCACCGCCGGAGCCTCTGCGGCCCGCCTGCCGACGCGGGGCCGGGGGCGCCGCGC